CACTCGCAGTCCAGTGTCAGCAATTCCTTCTCTGAAAGAAGCACCCTGCTGGTCTGCCAATAGGCTTCTAAAGCATGATGGTGTCATCTGTTCTTCAAACTTCTTTTAGGATCCTGGTGTGTAAATAACACTATGATGGTCCTCATGGTTTAATATGTTGATGTTTCAATCAGTTCTTTGTGGTGACATTCCCTAATTGTAAAAGACTCTACCAGTTGCTTTATTTAAAAAAAAAAACCCAAAAATGACTTAGGCAGAGGGAGAAGGTTGAAATGAAGAAAGAGGTAAGGTGGAGTTACAATAATAACATAATAAAAACATAACAGAATTGCATTACTTAGCTTAATTGACCGTGGAGTGCAACCAGAAGCGTTATTAAGGGAGAATGCCAAAAGAGTGTTCCTGTGGCAAAAAGAAAGGAAAAGCCTAGATAGATGACAAAAAAGAAACTCACAGTTGCTAAGAACAGACAAGAACCAAAACAAAAGGTGAGGGAAATAGGGCCAGAATCCTGAATGCAACTTCTCAGCAACTATCATGTAGAGTCAAGAAGAACTATTACAATGACCAGTGCAAACAGACATAGAATAGAGCATCTGCTAGAAGATCCAAGAAATCTAAAGGAGATTCTAACCTAGATTTTAATGTTTTAATGGACGAATGGGGGACAAGCTATCTCACCAGGGGAAAAGATGGAAAGAATATACAGAAGAACTATACAGGAGAAATGAAAGGATGACAGACTCCTGCAAAGAGGGATCTAATGAGGAGGAGCCTGCAGTATTAGAAAGGGAAGTGAGAGCTGCTGTGAAAACACTTGGAAGAAGCAAAGCACCTAAATTAGATAGGCTACCAGTAGAAATATTCCGAGCTGCAGAGACTGAATTGGTCCAAATTCTAACAAGGATATGCCAATAAATATGGAAATGAAAATCATCTACAGACTGGAAATATTCAATATACATTCCAGTTGTCAAGAAAGGAGATACAAAAGAATGCAGCAGCGGCAGGACCATCGCACTAATTCTCCGTGCAAGCAAAGTGATGCTCAGTGTTGGAACAAAGGATATTATCCTATACCTTTCTTTCAAATGACTTCAGATGAAAGTGAAAGAAGAAAGTACAAAAGCAGAACTGCAGAAAGAAAAGACATGATTTCAGAAGAATTACAGAACTTTACTGTTAACAATGAAGAAATTTGTGAAAAAAATTACATAGCTCAGTGATCACCTCAAATTAAAACTATAGCCAAGAAATTCAAAGAAAACTGAGACTAGGAAGGCAGAATTGAAGGACTTAAAAAAGATAAAGAGTACGGATGTTACACTAGAGACCAAAACCAAAATCATCAACACAGTTGTATTCCCAATCACTGTGCCTGGGTATGAAAGCTGGCCAGTGAAGAAGCTGACAAGAAGAAAATTGGAGCTTTTGAAACAGTCCTGGAGGAGAGCTTTGCAAATACTCTGAACCAACAGAAAGTGGGTCCTTGATCGAATTAATCCAGAACTTTTCCTAGAAGCAAAAATGATGGCACTGAGTCTGTCGTACTTTGGGCACGTCATGGGAAGACACAACTCCCTGGAGAAGACATTCATCTTGGGGAAATTTGAAGACAAAAAAAGGAAGATCCACTATAAGATGGATTGACTCCATCAAGGAAACCACTGCCTAGAATTTATAGGAGTTGGAAAATTGTTGTCGGGGATAGGATATTGTGGAGAATGTTCATACATGGGGCACCATAAATCAGATCCTACTTTGACAGCACATAGCAATAACAACATTTATTAGTCAAAAGAGAAAGTTGGTGGGGAGGGGGACGGTCAGTGAGGAAAATTTCAAATGCATAACAGATGATCAAAACTGCATAAAATAAAGACATGACAAGTCAGTGCAGAATATAAGGGATTCTATATTGAGAGACAGGTAGTCCAGATAGTAGAATATTATAAGAGACAGGATAATCAGCAAAGGTTTTTGTCTGAGTGGGGGGTGGAAAACAGAAAAATAATCCTAAAATCACAGGGTAATTGAACCCTTCTAGGCTTTTAAAAATGCGTAATGAAATTGAAGTTTGGGTTGAAAGACGTAACTTTACTGTTAGTGTAAAGTTTCCAAGCTTTACTCTAGCCTGGTAGTGCTAGTTTGGACTACAGAACACAGGCTTCCTTCAGTTAGGTTAAAATCCTTTGTTGGTGTCCTCTTCCTGTGTTTCTGTAAAACTAGCAGAAATGCATGTGTCTTCTACCAACTTGTCTCGGATTTTAAAAAGAAAACTTCTAATATCCTTGTACTAGAATTAAGATGCATTTTTAAAAATAATTTTGCTTTGCCTATGATTATTTGAAGGAATACTTTAAAATCCAATATTGAAATGCCAGCATTCAGTCTATTTTTATATGACTAATCTAATACTTGCCACCCAGAGGTCCTCAGTTTGTTCCTCTGCCAAACTGTTGTGCAGATGCAGCATTTTTTTTTTTTTTAGTCCAACCTCTTCAAAGAAGTCTTACTTCAGTGCCAGCAATTTCACATTTCTGTTGCTGAAAGATTACTGGAATCTGCCTCATCAGAGAGTTTGTAACTTCCCCAAAAATATCAGGGACCTGCCAAGGGACTTGCTGTCATTTCTGTGGCTAAGTAGCACGTTTTTGCTCTAATGTTTCCCTTAAGAAATGGCTCAGTATACTTAGCATAACTACAGGCATCTACAATTAAGAGTTGTTAATTAATTTTAGGGTGGTCAAGGAAACTCATTTTAACTTATTCATCAGCTGCCACTTAACTGATTAGTTTAATGGATTATGTATAAATATATATGTTACTATCATCACAGGGTTTTGAGTGGGAGAGAGTTTTGAGGCATTAAGGGTACAATCCTACGTATGCTTAGAACTCCCAGCATTCCCCAGTCTGTAGGATCGTCTGAAGGCATTATTTGAAGGAACATGCATAGGATGGCACTCTGAAGGCAACGGATTTACTTTCATAACTACTGTGGGTCATTCTAGGAAGACAGGCTTTATCAAATACAAGTGTGCCACAAAATGTTGCAGTATGGGATGCTTCTGTGGTTTAGGGCTCTACCATTCTACCTTGTTGGCTTTTCACTGTTCTTTTTCTCTCTTTCCAACAGTCAACATTTATGTCCTCTAAGTGGACATAGATTTACCTGTTCTGGGGTTCTTTCCAAAAGTTGTTTTGTTCCCCCACTTGAAGCTGAGTGTTAGGGGGAAGTGCATGTGCGGTGGTTACATCGCTATCCACTGTGAGCTACGCTCACTTATTTGATTTCTCCAATAATATCTAGGGGTGGTTCTGTGTTCTGTCACTGGTGATATTTTCTAGAGCTTCTCAGTGTAACCCAAGAGATGCAAATTGATGTAAAATCTTCTACTTCTTGTATTTCTGCATGTCATTCTCTCTTTGCACAAACCCTTTTCTACTTCCATGCCTGTTTAATAAATCAAATTTATTTTTAAAAAAATTCTCTTTCTGGTCACTG